TTTTCACGGTCTTGCTATTCGAGAGGCCTTGTAAACAACAAAGACATATTCCCTATTGTTAATAGGGGTACTTTCCCAGTCTTGTATTGTTATCTTTCCTTACTAAGAGGAACTAGCCGCCTGAGTGTTGTCGTTATAATACTCTTATACAACAGACGTTTGACAACATCAAAACGACTAGTACTCAAACAAGAGAACTTCCAATACTCATGGTCGAGGAAAAAGGTTCCGATAGCTATAATGAGAAATATACTTATGACAATTTTTAAATCTCTTAAAGTACTCTTATAACTCGATCCAGTAAAGTTTCAAACTAGTACCTATGCAAATGATTTACGTCAATCATGTCCTCGTAGGACAAGAAACAGTGCTATATATAAATCATACTACATACTAATCTCAAGTGGTCATTAATCGTCCATCGTTTAAATGACCTAGATTAGGGATAATTTTCAATTAAAATATTCAATGTTCACTTAATAGGTGTTTCTTTATCCAAGACATGGTCTTGATACCCTGTTTTGAATATTCTCAAATATCGAATGGGCTCATTATTTAACTCTAAACCACAATTAAATAGAAATGGAGTAATAATAAATTTGCGAAAATTTATGCTCCAGAACCGAATGATTCAACATAGTGTTTTACATTAAGACATCAAGTTTAATTAAAACACATATACAGGGAAATCAAAGCCAATCTCCAACATACTTGATTCCCATTGCCTCAACGCGCTGGTTGTGCTTCACTTGAGGCAAAGGTTTAGTTAATGGATCGGCTACATTGTCGTCCGTTCGGACTTCCATTCCCTTATCATGTGAAATTGCCGCTTGACATGTTTGACCTTCTGGTGTTCCCTTGGCTCTCTTGCCTGAGCGATAGCTCCATTAGTATCACAATAGAGGTCTATAGGACACTTGATGGAGGGTAAAACACCAAGTTCACTAATGAACTTATGAATCCAAACTGCCTCCTTAGCTGTTTCCGAAGCTGCCAAGTATTCTGCTTTAGTTGTACAATCTACAGTGGTGCTTTTCTTAGCACTCTTCCAACTAAACGCCCTCCATTCAGGAAACTTGGAGTCGTCTTTATCAGTCTGCAATCTCGCGTTAGTATAACCTTCAACAACCAAATCATTACTACCACCATAGACCAGGAACTTATCCTTGTTCCTTTTTAGGTACTTTAGGATATACTTGGCTGCAGTCCAATGCGCCTCTCTTGGGTTTGATTGGTGTCGGCTCGTAGTACTCATGGCATATGATACATCCGTCCTAGTACATATCATGGCATATGAAATCTGATTCATCCTCTCTCGCTGATCAGATGTCCGTGGACACTGCTTCTTGCTAAGAGTTATGTCATGTGACATGGGTAGGTGACCTCTTTTGGTCCCTTCCATGTTGAATCGTGCCGGTACCTTATCAATATATGTATTTTGGCTCAATTCAATCACCCTATTAGATCTATCTCTATAGATCTTGATGCCCAATATGTACTGTGCCTCTCCCAAGTCCTTCATTGAAAAGCACTTTCCAAGCCAACCCTTTACGGACTCTAACAGTTTAGTGCTGTTTCCAATTAGTAATATGTCATGGACATATAAGACTAGGAATGTGATGTCACTCCCACTGACCTTCTTGTAAACACAAGACTCATCTGGATTCTTGATAAAACCAAACTTACTAATGGCTTCACCAAATCGCAGATTCCAACTTCTACTTGCCTACTTTAGTCCATAAATGGACTTCTTAAGAGCATACCTTCCCAGCAGTACTTGGATAAACAAAACCTTCTGGCTGTGTCATATACACAGTTTCTTCTAAAATCCCATTAAGGAAGGCGGTTTTGATATCCATTTGCCATATTTCATAATCATAATATGCAGCAATCGCTAGGATAATCCTAACGGACTTAAACATTACGACTAGTGAAGAGGTCTCATCATAATTAACGCCGTGAATTGGCCTGTAACCTTTTACCACCAGTCTATCTTTGTATATAGATACATGTCCATCTTTGTCCGTTTTCAACATGAAAATCCATTTGCAACCAATAGGTTTGTAACCTTCGGGCAAATCAACCAAGTCCTAGACTTGATTTTAAGACATGAAGTCCAGCTCGGATTTCATGGCATCTTGCTATTTTTTAGAGTCGGGGCTCGTTATAGCTTGTTTGTATGTTGCTGGCTCATCTCCATCTATAACTAGGATGTCTTGATCTTCGGTTAAGACAATACCAAGGTATCTGTCTGGTTGAGATCTTGGCCGTTGCGACCTACGCAGGGTAATAAGTTGAGCATTTGCATTGTCGGTTTGACTCTGACCAATGTCATTAGCAGCTTCTAAAGCACTTTGATTGTCAGTTTTGTCAGGTTGACTTTGTTACTCGTCCTCTCGAACTTCATCGAGTTCGATTTTCTCCCACTTGTCATTTTGGAAAGGTGTTCCTTCTCCTAAAATACATCATCACGAGCAACAAACACTTTGTTCTCGGATTTGTTGTACAAGCAATACCCCTTGGTTTCTTTTGGGTAACCCACAAAGAAACACTTTTCAGATTTTGGGTGAAGTTTGTCAGAAATTAATCTCTTGATATCTGCTTCGCAACCCCAAATCTTAAGAAAAGACAACCGTAGAGGTTTCTACGTCCATAATTCATATGGAGTCTTTTCGACAGCTTTTGACGGAGCACGGTTCAGTGTTAGTGCCGCGGTTAGAAGTGCGTGTCCCCAAAAAGAGATAGGAAGTTCACTAAGACCCATCATTGATTGAACCATGTCTAACAAGGTTCGATTCCTCCGTTCGGACACTCCATTCCATTGTGGAGTTCCGCGAGGTATCAATTTTGAAAGAATACCATTTTCTTTCAAGGGATAGTCAAATTCGTGGCTTTAATACTTGCCACCTCGATCCGATTAAAGTGCTTTGATTTTATTGCCAAGCTAATTTTCAACTTCACTCTGAAACTCTTTGAATTTCTCAAAGATTCAGATTTGTACGACATTAGGTAGACATAGCCATATCTACTATAGTCGTCCGTGAAGGTAATGAAATATCGACAACCACTCCTTGCAGGTGAACTCATTGGTCCACATACATACATATGTATAAGACCTAATAAGTCACTAGCCCTTTCTCCTAACTTGGAGAATGGCTGCTTTATCATCTTGCCTAATAAACATACTTCGCAATTTTCAAATGACTCCAAGTCGAATGAGTCAAGAATACCCTTATGAAAAAAATAATTCTTGATGCGTTTGATAGTATTGTGGCCAAGACGACAATGCCACAATTAAGTTTGATTCGACACGATGGTCTTAGCTCTTTTGGTGGTATCATTCATTTGTCTAATCATATGTAAAACATGCAATTTTATAGAACATATAAGCAAGACATTTCAAAAAACAACCATTGTTTTTGTCTTGTGATCAAAGTAACCTGGTGTCCAACACCATAGATCAAAAGTATGTTCAAAAGCATGAGAAACTAAGATTAGTTGATTACAAGCCATAGACAAAAAAAATGTGCCTAAAAGCACGATCGAAAGACCATCTTTGTCGTCCGCTCGTAGTTGCACATCCACTTTTGAAGCCCTCTCACTTGGTTCCTGAAATGGAAACATAAAGTGAGTTACACATGGTATCAAATACCTATGAATAGTTTTATACACAAGTGTTAATGAAAATACCTGAGGCAGATGCAACATTCCTCACCTCCTCTTCCTTTCGAAAGAGCTTGCATTCCCTTTTTTAGTGGCCTTGCCCACCACAATAGAAGCATCGCATCTTCGCCTTGTTCTTGAACTCCCTCTTCCTTGCTCTGAAGGGCCTTTCGGTTTCTCCATAGAAGGTGGCTCGGTGAAGCAACTACACCACCTCTCTTAAAGAGCGTGTCTCCTTTCACTGAGCTATATGCACTCTAAGTGCATCATAGCCCAAGTGGAGTGAAGAAAGCAAGATATGACCCGCCATCTCATCTTCCAATGAGATTCCGAGAAGCTCCATATGCTTAAAGAGCCTAGTCATACCAAGCACATGAGGTCGGAGGGGCATACTGGGTCTCAATTTGGTATTGTAGACCCTTGACCAAAGCCGACACCTCTCCTTAGCAAGACAACCTACTTCTGGTGGCTTTATCTTCATGTTCGAAAGTGACCTAGTCACATTAAACACGAGTCCATCATAGTTGCCATTGTCACTCTTGGTGACTCTCACATTGAGAATGTCCTCAAGTGCTTTGAGGAACACGTCAGGAAAATAGAAGGAGAGCTTTTCCTTCCAATCTTCCGGGATGGAATTAGCCATTAGTCGTGAGACTTTCTTGCAATCGGAAGACCATTTATCATGAGCCTCATCGCTCATGATTCCTTTAGAGAAGATTTTTGGAATGAGAGTATTAAGAGTGTATTCTAAGGAACAATTCTAAAGAGTTTTCTTGAGTTCCTTTTCCCATTCCTTGAAATTGACCAAGTTAAGGCTAGCCTAGTACTCGCATGGTTTGGCCAATGCGAGGCTACGACTTAGCCTGAACTTGTCGCTTATTGATTTCTCGTCTTGTCGAATTCCAATTCGACTCGGCTTACGACACTCGGTTTCAACGCTCTAAGCTCGATATCCGACGTCTTTGTTTGTAATACTCTAATGACTCATCTAATTCTTCGGATTGGTTCGTCGCCTCAGATCGGTTACTCGATTAGGTGTGACCCGAAGGGTTTAGTCAAGATTAAGTTGTAATATTAATTATACATTAATATTACTGATCGGAAGCGGCCTCCACCTAGGCATTGTGATCATTTGACCTCATTGAAAAATTAGCTTTCTAATAATTTCGAACCCTCTATCGGAATAATACACTTGTTGGAAGGACACCATTCTTTTCAATCTCCCACTTGTCCGGAATGCAAGTAGTTTATTGCCCATTTCCTATGTCACTTAATGTCTCTTCATGAACTATAAGGTAAAATTCTTCGTCATCCTCATTACGTCCTGAAGTGTTTCCATTAGAAGAAAATTGAAATAGGCACCCCCCTTTAGCACCGGTTTGTGAAAACCAGTGCCAAAACAAATGGGCGGGATTGAAAAATTCAGTGTTAGCACCGGTGCCAACCAAACCGGTGCCAAATCATATAATTAGCACCGGTTCAAACCGGTGCCAATTTAAAAAAAAATTAAAAAAAAAGTATGGAATAGAGTTGGCACCGGTTCACCTTAAACCGGTGCCAACTATGGTATTTAGCACTGGTTTAAACCGGTGCCATTGTTTAAAAAAAAAAACCGGGCGAAATAAAAAAAAAAAGAAAAAATCGGGTATTAATTTCTCTGCTTCTTCTTCTTTCTTTCTTTCCCCCCTGCATTTCATTTTCGTTAACCCTAACTCTCGTTTTCGCCCTTCTCTTAGCTTCGACCACCTTTCTCCATATTTCTCCTCCATTACGCGTGCTCGTAGTTCTCCATTGAAGCGCATTCTGAGCTTTGTCCATATCACTCCTCCACTACGCGTACTGTTTATTCTCCATTGAAGCGGATTCGAGCTTTCTCACCTTCATTGAAGCAGCTTCGAGGTAAAAATTTGTTTTTGTCCTTTTTAGATTATCGATTTCAGTTTTCGCAATCTAGGGTTTTTCGTTTATTTGATTTTCGAATTAAGGGTTAGTTCTTGTAAACTAGGGTTAGTTTACTACTGCAACCCTCTTAATTTCGATTTGGGTTCTCTGGGTTTTTGTTGTTGAAGAAGTGTTAATCAAATACTCCTATGTGTCGGGTTTAATAGTCATGTTGATAGTGTAATTTGAATTAGGCATATGATTATTGAATCCCAAATGAGGGAGTTTATTTAATGGAAGAACTTGTATATGTTTTTGCTTTCAGTTGGCTTCAATGTCGGCCGAGCTATGTTCAAAGCAATGACCCTACTTAACTCTAAAAATTTAAACTTCATATTAAATTTTAAACCTTTTAGTTTCATGTAAAATGCTGTTACATGTCATTGTTAGATTGTTCTGAACGGCTTAATATTAAACTACATAACATTGGTATATTAAAATTAAAAGTTAAAAATTGACGCCTTAATTTTGAATTACATTACTGTATATATTTAGCTTTGCCACTGATGTTTTATACCTCTATATTGGTACTTAACTCTATGCTCATGGTTGTTCAGCTGAATATTGTGGAGGGTAAGATGCAGTATTTGTTTGATGAGACGGGTAGACGCTATCTTGATGCATTTGCCAGGATTGTGACTGTGTCTTGCGGCCACTGCCACCCTGATATATTGAATGCTGTAATAGAGCAAAGTAAACTTCTTCAGCATGCGACAACTATATATTTGCACCATGCCATAGCTGACTTTGCAGAGGCTTTGGCATCGAAAATGCCTGGAAATCTAAAGGTTGCTTCTCATAACCTATATTGCCCCACTTTAACCCTTGCAAAGTTATGTTGCTTATTGTTTTAATTTGACATGTCTCACTAATCTGATCATCATCATCTAACTCATAATTTTACTAGTTGATTTCAAGGCTTTCCTCAAAATTGATGAACCGAATCCTATGTTTTAGTATATGACATGATTGTTAATGTACAATATGCTTTCAATTGAATTGGCTACGCTGATGGCAAAGCTTTACACTGGTAATCATGGCATGATTTCATTGAGAAATGCCTACCATGGTGGAAGTAGTAATACCATTGGATTGACGGCTTTAAATACATGGAAATACTCAATACCACAGGTTCTTTTCCATGATAATCCTATAAGTACTCATTCTTATTATCGTAATATTATATCATGTGAGGTCTCATCAAGGTTGTTGGTTCATAGTTGGGTATGATCTTCTGTTTCCTGCTATAGAGTAACTTTAGATTGCATGTGATGCATTGACAAATCTACTAAGGATTTTAAAATCCTGCTTTAGTGATTGGTATACATTTCAAAATTGTCTGCCCCTCCTTGCCTTCTTTGGCCATGTGTAGACTAAAGCCAAAGTCCTTATTGCTTCATTTTCTGGTTTGCTTCCTGATTATCTTGGACCTAAAGTTTATTTCTTCTAAGACTGAGATTTGACAAAATGTAGCTATAAAGGTTCTAACCTATCATCTAGCTTCTAATCGTGTACACTAGTCTGATTTTTCTAATGACATAAAAGGCCAGCACTAGTAGAAATTTTGATATATGGACAAAATAACTCACAGGTTTTACATGATGTAAGGAACCCTCATGTTAATGCTCATAATGGCTACATCTCTTTTCTTGCATTGTAATTGAATGCATATTTTATTCCTTCTGCAGGTTATGGGGAAAGGCATGTTGGTTATCATTTCCGATTCTGGAAAGCTCTCTTTTCTAACATTTTGTAATGAAATGCACAGGTTCTACTCTCATCTAGAGCCTTCCTCTATGAATTCTCCTCTGCTTTTTAATAGAAAAATTGGATGTATTTATAGTTTCTCGTTGCGTGAACTAATTATGGTTTAGTTGGTGACTTGTATTTGTGCTTCCGCTGACTGATTAGGTTCTTTCCAGTGACTCATGTTCAACTTTCAATCCCTGGCAACTCAAAGACACCAGATTGGTAGAATCCTTGCTTTTGATGCCTTGTAAGTATTTTCTTTGGAGTTATTGCAATGTAATTTTGTCACCTCTTCATAGCCATATTTGGAGACTATATCCAGGCCATGCTTTGCCCTGATTCAAATGTAGGGTGCCTCATCAATAATTAGATTCTTGTGTGTATTGATTTATTTTCGGTTGGCTACATAATTTTCACCCTTGTTTGTATTAATTTATTTAAGCGAACACCTCTTTTCATGCTATGTTTGAGAATAACATGGTTATTACTTTGCTGCGACTGGATTTTCTTAGGTATGACTTACAACACTCTGGAGTTTATGACATCATTGGAAAACATGAAGATTCAGTAACTTGCATTGAGTATTCTCCAGAAACAGGTGAGTAGTATTTGGTAGAGCATTCTTCCTACAATCCTACAGTGTGGAGTACAGTGCATCCTATGTGTACCATTCGCTGTTTGCCTACTTTGACAGGGACTATGTTGCTCTAAAAGGCTTAGCCAAGTTACTAATGCTGGATTATTGTTGTTGTTCAGATTACTTAACAGTTTCTGCAGGACCACTGGATCTTCAGTGGCTTGCTTTACCTCTTCCAAGCTCAACATATTACATTGCTTTATATTTTGCTGATGACCGTGCCTCATCGAGGCGGGCATTTGACATTAGCATCAATAATGTGCCATATGTTCGTAACCTGAGCGTGACTCCATCTGGTGTGGCTGTGTTTGCAACCAAATGGCCCCTTGACGGTCTGACAAGACTGAGATTTACCCCAGTCAATGGATCAGATGCTAGTCCCCTGATCAACGGCGGGGAGATTTTTGATGTTTTATCCCTTGGGAATAGTGCATGATGGTACATCTCTGAAATTTACAAGTGTTGTGGTCTAATTTCTTCTCATGTTATACTTGAATTATAATAGGCTTATCGCCCCCTCCTCCTAAGAACCATGTTGTGTAACTAGGTAATCTGATTGTTTACACTTAAGCAAGGGATAAAGCTGATAAGCTATTTTAAAATCTACGAGCAAAGAATTTAAGCACGAGACACCACAATTAATTTGCCTAGCACGAGAGCATTAAAACATGTCAAGCTAATGTTTTAGTAAGGAGGGGCTAATTTCACGATAACATTTGAAAAAGAAATAGACAAAGGAAAACGATTGATTAGCATGCCAAATGAATATTTATTATTTTGTGTCTAGATAATATTAGTTGGGATGACTTGGTTTAGGTAGTTGCTGTTTGTATACAAAGCTGAGTAGGTTGTGACCTGATTGGAAATTTTCATTCTTTTAGATTGATTAAAAGTTTAGAAAAGTGCTTGAGGCTTGTTATTCTTCTGAATTGGTTATTGACTATTTTGTTTCTTGCCTCAGTGATTATGTTGGAAAGAATTAAACGCAGTTTCCTGAACCCTCCTGAAGATTACAAGTTATTGAAGAAAATATATGTGTTGGGACTTTTAGAAAAATATATGTGTTGGGACCAAAGAATTAAACGCAGTTTCCTGAACCCTCCTGAAAAAAATCCGTGTACTATTAGAAAATAATATTACAAGTTATTGAAGAAAATATATGTGTTTTATTTATATTATGATTATATATAAGTATTTGGTACAATTTAAGTGAAAAAAATGCAGATTTTTTTTATTTTTTTTTAATTTTTTTGGGTATTTTTGGCACCGGTTTTGGAAAGAGCCGGTGCTAAAAGGTTTTTTTAAAATTTTTTTGGGACTTTTGGCACTGGTTCTAAGTCACAACCGGTGCCTATTGTATTGAAAAAAAAAGCGCCATGTAGTTGGCACCGGTTACCCGGTGCCAAAGCATGTAATTAGCACCGGTTAACCGGTGCCAAATCATGTAGTTAGCACCGGTTAACCGGTGCCAAATTTTCTTGGATTTGGCATCCCTCAAATCCCCAACGGTTCAAAACCGGTGCCTTAGGGGGGGGGGTTTGAACCGGTGCCCATTTATCTTTTTCACCTAGTGTTCTCGATTCCCGAGTTTGACTGTCGATAAGCAGATGATTTCCAAAATCCATCTGAGCACGACCATGCATTTTCACAGTCTCGCTCTTCGAGAGGACTTGTTAAACAACAAAGACATGTTCCCTATTGTTAATAGGGGGACATTCCCAGTCTTGCATTGTTTAGCTTCCCTTATTAAGAGGACCTAGCCGTTATAATCCCCATTTACGGCAGACGTTTGATAACATCAAAACGAACTCAAACAAGAGAACTCACAATACTCATGGTCAAGGAAAAAAGGTTCCGATAGATATAATGAGAAATATACTTATGAAGATTTTAAACCTCTTAAAGTATTCTCATAGGCCGATCCGGTATAGTTCTAAACCAATACTTGTGCAAATGATTTATGACAATCATGTCCTCGTAGCACAAGAACGATGCTATAAATCATAATAAACACTAATCTCAAGTGGTCATTAATCGTCAATCATTTAAATGATCTTGATTAGGGATAATTTTCCATTGAAATATTTAATGTTCATTTAACAAGTGTTTCTTTTTACAAGACATTGTCTTGATACCCTGTTTTGAATATTCTCATAAATCAAATGGACCCATTATTTAATTCTAAACCATAATTCTCATTCGACTTGGAATCATTTAAAAATTGCGAAGGATGTCTATTAGGCAAGATGATAAAGCAGCCATTCTCCAAGACGAGGAATGCGATGTCACCCCACTTACCTTCTTGTAAACACAAGAATCACTTGATAAAACCAAATCACTAATGGCTTCATCGAATCGCAGATTCCAACTTCTTCTTGCCTGTTTAAGTCCATAAATGGACTTTTTAAGCTTGCATACCTTCCCGGCATTACTTGAATTAACAAAACTTTCCGGCTGTGTCATGTACTCAGTTTCTTCCAAAATCCCATTAAGGAAGGTGGTTTTGACATCCATTTGCCATATTTCATAATCATAATATGCGGCAATTGCTAGGATAATCCGGGCGGACTTAAGCATGGCGACTAGCGAAAAGGTTTCATCATAATCAACGTTGTTTGGGGGGGGTTTTTTAGATGTGCTGCGGGAGAGTTACAATTTCCTAGTATGCTCCTTCCTTCGCCTGTACCTGCACAAATAACGGAGACTCTTGATGGCGGGTGGGAGTTCCGCCTCCGAAGATCAAGTTAGAATCTTTCTTAAAGAGGTATAAAGAACAATAAATGCTTCTCGATTAGAGAGCGTTTTGCAATGGGTTTTGTGTTTGGTTGGTTGTTTTAATGATTCTCGATCCCCATAAATGAGGTCTGCCCCTACTATTTATAGTAGGAGAGAACTGCACCTCAATTAAGGTACAATGGACACGTGTCGCAAAGGGATTGGGTCTTTGCTGACCGTTGCAATCTTGACACATGGTAGGCCTTTATAGGGCCACGTGTCCAGGGGTATTTTTACCCTAAACATCTTCCCCTCACAGGTGTGACGTGGCATAGCCACGTGTCACCTGTGACAGGCGTCAGAAGAATGGGAAGTGATGATTCGCCTACTTCCCTCCTTTTTTGAGTTTTTCAAATTTTAAGGCAGAAGGTGTTGATTCGCCTTCTGCCCTCTCCTATAAATAAGTGACATCACCTCTCTCCTCCACACTTTACAAAATTTCAAAAACAATTTCTGAGAGCTCTGACACTGGGTGCTTCATTTCCTCAAGAATTCTTCCATCCGACATTTGTAGATCAATCACATTCGGCTACCGGTTGAGTATATTTTGATCAATTACAACAAGATACTGGCTGCCCCTTTCTCTTCACTTTTAACTTCTGATTTTAAGGATCTTGACTGATTATCCCATCCGGGTTGTATGCCGCCTGGGGGGGATCTTGACTGATTTTCCCATCCGGGTTGCATGCCGCCTAGGGGGTCTTTAAACCATTCCCAAGCACTGAATTCACTCCCTCAGCCGGCATAGCTTCGTCTAAGGGGTCTTTAACCTTCAAAAATCATGAATTCAATGTACCCCCATCCGGTGAAACACCGCTTGGGGTACCTCTGAGTTTAATACCGCTTGGGTTACATTCTTCGATTTTCAATGACTAATATCTACGCTACCTCAGCCGGAGTATTCCGTCTAGGGTGTCTTCAAAATCATTTCACGTTGCATTCAATATACCCCCATCCGGTGATCACCGTCTGGGGCCCATTTGAGGAATCTCTTCTTTTCAAAACAAGTTTCACTACACCCTCATCCGGAATTAACCGTCTGGGGTATCTTTGAGTGACCTTGGTAACATTTTCAGTGCCTACAGCCGGCATCCATATCGGTTGTGGTGCTTTCTATCTTTTTTAATCTTTTCTTTGCAAGATATTCAGCTGGTGATGCTCCGCCTGGGGCACATTTCTGAGCTTATTTGACAAAAAGTACTCAGACCCTTAGCCAGTTTTAATACCGCCTGGGTGGCTTTTAAGCAATTTTCATTTAGGTCCAATGACCCTCATCCGGCTAGTCACCGTTTGGGGGACCTTTGAAAACTCTTCAGGGAAGACCGTCTGTGCTACCCTTGCCTAATTTCTCCTTGAATCTGCTTGATCTAATTCTACTTTCTTATTTCAGCTTTGTACACCTCCGCCTGTGGTGACTTCAAGCCACTTTCAACTTTGACGGTTGTACCCAACAAGCTTCACATTCTAAGGTACCACCTGTACCCTTTGCAAATCTTTTCCCTTTAATTTCCGGTTGTGCACATAGAATTAGGATATGGACTCCACCAATATAAACACGGCACAGCCTACGACTGTGGTCAGTCGGTCACCAGGGACGGCTAAGTCTAGGACTGGGACTGCCGTCTGGGGGTGTTTGGGCCAACCTTCATCTACTTCGAATCCGACCGTTTCTGCTCATGTGCAGAACAGAATGGCCCGGACTAGATGGACGACAGTAGACCCTGATTACAAGTCCGATGATGTAGCCGTTGATCCGGCTGACCCTTTAAACGAAGAGCAGACTGAGGAACCGTATGAGAGAGTTCCAAATGAGGATGCTCCACAAGACTCCCCAAGTGTACCTAGCACACCGGGCGATGGCATTTTGGGTAGCTCTAGTTCTAATGCCGAGGAATCCGGCGAAGGATCAGATGATGAGGAGTCCGACTCTGATGAGGAGTCTCCTGAAGCGGCTGCCCTTATTGATGAGGAAGCCTATAAGTGGCCAGCTGCAGGTGACCCTATCGACATGACTATGTCCGCCAGGGATGTGGTTACTTTAAACGCAACACTCCCTGCTTTTTTGAAGAAGAAGCCGGTAAGGGAGAACTGGGAAGTGGTAGTACCGCCTGTAGAGGCAAGCGTCATTTGGACCGACGATGTGGAAAATGCCGATAACTACTTCGGTTGTTACGAGGCAGCATTCAAAGCCGGCCTCCGGTTCCCCCTTCATCACTGCATAAAAGCCATACTAAAGGGGTATGGCTTGGGTGTATGGCAGTTGACCCCTAACTCATGGGTCAACATTTTGGGATACATTGCCGCCTGCGAGTTGCAGGAGGTTAAGCTCAGTTGGGAGGCATTTTCTCATATGCATTACCTCAGTCGGGAGCCGGGTGGATGGAGTGCATGGTATACCTTAACAACCCATCCGGAATATATGAAGACCCTGGACAAGCCGTCCAAGTGGAGCAGTTGGAAGAGCAAATTTTACGCTGTTTCTTCTCCAACTTCCCAAGTAAACCGTTGGCTGCGCAGATATAATAAGCACCCGACTTTGCTCGGGAAAAAGTGCGCTCTCCCAAAAGTGACGGCTGAGGCTTGGGAGCAGATAATGGAGAGGGGTCTTTTTCTTAAGATGACGTCCCGGATGGATGATGGGAGCGACATTATTGTCCCCAAATTCTGGTTTCCCCATCCGGAAT